AGCTACCTATAGACCTGGAATTAATGGCAAGAGGAGCACTAATTAAATTTACAAGGAAAAGGTACCTGCAAACTTCAATTTTTTTGTGATTTTTGTGTGCTTACAACAAGAGCTACAGAATGGTGCTGTGCGAAAAAAGAAGGGAGTTTTAACGAAAAGCCAGCGGTACACTTTAACGAAAAACCACATATTTACACTTAAAAGTCAAATCTGGTACTATTCACTTTACCCTTTATTTTTTCCTTATCGTTAAAAGTCAAAGTTTTCAAGCCCTTTTCATTAGTTTTCCTAAAAAAGAAAAGTCAAATACCCAAATCCAAAGCTTGGGAGTATAGCAGTAAAGATTCTAAACCAGGTGCCAAGGGCAGTAATTAAACAAAATTTCTCTGTTAAAAGGTGGCCATCGGAACTCGCACTAGAGGAAATCAAGATGGAATTAGTTCCGTTTTGGGTCCAGATCAGGGGTGTCCCTCTGTATCTTAACTCGGAAGCAAATGTCAACCCCCAACAAATGAAATTGGTGAATTTCTGGAGTTTGAAGAGCCTTCCAAAGCTCGTGGCATCCTCCGTGTTAAGGTAACTGTCAACACTTTGAACCCCCTGACCACTGGTTGTTGGCTCCAGGTTCGGCCCAGGCCCAGTGCCACCATGGCGGTTGTTCAGGGCCCAAAATTGAAAAGGGCACAAAAAAAATTCAAATAATTAGGTATAAAAAAAAAAAAAAATTGTCCAGAGCCCAAAATAGGGGCTAGAGGGCAAGAGCCCAAGTTTGACAAAAGATAGAACAGCCAAGGTTTTGGGCATTAAATAAAAAAATAACATAAGAGGGACCGCTCGTCCCCCAATTAACCCTAAGTTCCTAACACATCAACCATTTGTCCTGATTCCCCACCCCACTTTGTTTCCCACTTTGCCCGCTGCCCTGCCATCTTTGTTCTTTTCTCCCAATTCCATTGGAAGCAAGTGCAACATTTTAACTCCCAAAACTCATTGTTTCCCAATTCCCAATTGCAAGCTGCTACACTGCAACTTTCAAGCCCGACAGGTCATTCTCAACGTTGCGCCATTCACCATTCAGTGCATTCACCAAACCTTTTGAGTTTTGAGGTAAACTAATTTTTAAAAATTGAATTATTAATTTATAATTTAATATAAAATTTTGCAAGTGACATAGAATTATATGATAATTGACGTATAGAATTGTTGTTGTTGATGAATTGAATTCTTGATTAATTGAATTATTTGATTTCATTTCAAACCCAATTTTTAGGTTCAATTTTATCAATTTTTATATGTTAGACTATGTGTTAGTGCTTTTATAATATATAATACATGCTAGTGTTTTTATAATATATAATATGTGTTGGAATGATAATTTTGATAGGAAATTTTTGTTATATCATGTGTAGGTAATCTTTTCAAACAAATTATCGAAACCATGTCTTTTAGGAAACAACTCTCTGGTAATATGAAAAGGAAAAAAAAAGGTAAAGGATAACGAAATTGCTGAAAGTTTAAGAGGATCGCTTAATTTTTTTTTTTCTATAAAGAATGAGTCAATTGAAAATTTGAGAGAAAATGATGTTGGTGAAGAGTCACAAAATGTTGTTGGGGAGTCTCATAATCATGAAATTGGTGGTTATGTGGAGAAAGATGTTAATAACAAGTCTCATGACCATGAAAATGATGGTGATTTAGAGGACAATGTTGGTGATGAGTATCAAGACCATGAAAATGGTGGTGATGTAGATTTAAATGTTGATGATGATTATATTGGTGTAGAGGAAAATATTGAATCTCTTGAACCTATTTTCCATTTAACATTTATGATCTAAGAGTTTGGGATGGTCTTAATGCAGAAATGAGAGACTTACTTGTAGAAAAGGGACCAATTCGAGAAACTAATCTCACTTATCCTAAGGACAAACACTCTAGAAAATTTTCCTCACACTATTATGATCGAAAATTACGAACGGGTGAAATTTATGATAGGAAATGGCTCGTGTACTCAAAAGAGTTGGATAAAGTCTTTTGTTTTTGTTGTAAATTGTTTAAAATAATTGCCTCAAGAAGTGAGTTAGCAAAATATGGAACTAGTGATTGGGGACATCTTGGTGAGAAGCTTGACCAACATGAAAAAAGTAAAAAGCATCTCACTAATTCGAGAACTCGGGTTGGGTTGAAAAGTAGATTGACAAAGAATTTCAAATGCGAATCAAGAATGAGACAAATCATTCGAAACAAGTGATGCTTAGATTTATTGTTGTCGTGAAATGTCTTGCCATACGTAATTTAGCATTTCGTGAAACAAATGAAAGACCTTATGAAGACTCTAATGTCAACTTCTTAGGTTTACTTGAAATGATTGCAGAGTTTGATCCAATAATGCAAAAGCATTTTCGAGTCATTGATAATAAAGAGATTCATCATCACTATTTGAGCCACAAAATCCAAAATGAGTTGATAGCTAATTTAGCTTCAAAAGTCAAAACATCATTAAAAGGTAAAAGAAGCCAAATTTTGTTTTCTATCATTCTTGATTGTACTCCTGATGCAAGTTATGTGGAACAAATGACTTTAATTTTGAGATGTGTTGACTTGTCAAGTAGGTCAATAAATATAAGGGAGTATTTCATGGAGTTTTTAAGTGTGGAAGATACATCAGGACAATGACTTTTTAATGAGTTGCAAGATGTCTTAAAGTCTCTTGATCTTGATATTGATAATGTGAGGGGATAAGGTTATGATAATGGATCTAACATGAGAGGAAAACACCAAAGTGTCTAGAAAAGATTGCTAGACATAAATCTCAAAGCCTTTTACATGCCATGTGATTCTCATTGTCTTAATTTAATAGTTTGTGATATGGCAAGTTCATGTCTTAAAGCAAAATATTTTTTTGGAGCATGTCAATGCATATATACGGTGTTTTCCAACTCTACAAAGCGTTGGAATATTTTACTTGAACATATTGATGGTTTAACTTTGAAGTCATTGTCAACTACTCGATGTGAAAGTCACATTGAAAGTGTTACAGCAATTAAATCTCAAGTAGCCCAGGTTAGAAATGCTTTGTTTAAGTTTGGTTATTTGGTATGACATTTTGTTAAAGATTAACACAGTGAGCACAAAATTACAATCTGAAGACATGTGTCTTGATGTTGCTATAAAGGCATTGGAAGCATTTGTTACATTTTTTGAAAACTACAGATAAACTGGTTTTACTTTTGCCATGAGTGATGCTAAAGAAATTGCACTTGATTCGGAAATTGACCATGTTTTTCAAACAAAACGTCATAGACCTAGAAAAAAACATCATGATGAAGTTGATGATAATGAGAGGGAACAACAGTCTGCTGAAGAATCATTTTGAACAGATTATTTTCTTGTTATAGTGGATATTGCTCTTTTTCAACTGAAACACAAGTTTGAACAGTTAAGGCTTTTGAATCTATTTTTGGCTTCTTGTTTGATGCATCGAAGTTAATTTCATTAGATGATCAAGAGCTAAAAGAAAATTATATAAATCTTGAAGCACATTTGAAACATAGAAATACCATGGATGTAGATGGATCCGACTTATGTTTCGAATTACAAGTTTTGCAAATGATGTTACCTGAAGAAGCATTTCTATCTAATAACCCTTGGACATCCATGGAAATAGAAAACTTTGTAAAAGAAACTGACATCTGTCCTAATGTCTTGATTGCTTATCGTGTACTGTTAATTGTACCCGTGACATCTGTAGAAAGAAGTTTTTCAAAATTGAAATTATTAAAATCTTACTGATAAGAGCATATTTATGTGACCTAGTTAGCTTGTTTTCTTGTGTTTTCGTAGTTAGTTTGTGTTTATTATAGTGATTTAAGCTATTTTCGTGTGTTTGTAGGTCCAAATGACAAAATTGGCAAGAAAGTGCATTTTGGAGCAGTTTTGGAGCAGTTTTGGGCACTAAATGGATAGCACATGTATGGGCCAAGGTGGATGGACATTTTTGGAGTTCAAAAGGCTAGGAATCTGATAAGGAGATGAAGAAATTAAATTAAAGACAGAAGATAAGGAATCAGCTCAAAAGAGAAAACATTATCCACAACCTTATCCAACCATATCTTATCCAAACTAACCTTATCTTATCTTATCCTTTCCTAATCTAGCATTATCCAATCCTATCTTATCCAAATCAGTTTATGCCTTAATTCCAACTATTTATAAGGGATAATTATGCATTTAAAATACATATTTCAGATTCTAGAAAGCCTTATCCCATCTCCCTACAAAAATGGCACATATTCCCTTCTAGAAGGCTTTTGCCTTGCCTTGCAAGCAATTCCCATTCCCTCCAAATCTGTGCCACACCTTTCCTCACCCAATTCCCTTTGGATTCTGATTTAACTAGCCTTGTCCCTAGTGGATTTGGGTTATGCAAATCCTTTTCAGAAATTAATTGGGCTAAAAGTGGATTTAAATCCTTGTGACGCACCTTTAGGCCCTAATCCTTAAAATCTGCTAAGTTCTCACCCTAATCTGATTAACCCTAGCCCTTGCCATGCCTATATATATATATATATATATACGGGGAGCTTAAGGGGAGGGATCCCCATTTTTTTGAAAAAATGGGGAGCCTTCTCCTAACCGTTGGATGAAATGGGTGGTTGAGATTAAATGAGGATCCCCATCTTTCTTTTTCCTTTTTCTTTTCTGGTTTCCACCTCTTCTGTGCGACACAGGCGCACATCATCTCCCACGAACAAAGCGCAATACCAGCCAAATCACAGGCCATCGCGAATAACCTTTGAGATTTCAGAGATTTCAGGTATGGGTCTCCTCCTCATTCACTATTTTAGGTGATTAATTTGGAATTTGGGTTGAACAATTAGGGTTTATATTTTTCAAATTCTAAAAGCAAAAACCTATTGCGTTCTGATTCTTTTCTTCCATTCTTTGATGGCCTTTGTTTAGTTGGTACTACGACGGAAATAACGAGGTTATCTTGTTATCTTTTCAGTCTTCAAAACTTGGAGTGCTGTCTGTTTGTCCTCTTTCCATATTTCTCGTGAGTGATCTTTTTGGCCCTTTTTCATCTTATGTAAATTAGTTTTAAGGCCTTCTCCTTATACGCAAATTGACGTAGAACTATCATCTGTTTAGTTACATGCTTGCAGAAGGTCTTGGTCTGTTTGGTATTGTGTCAATATTGTTCACAGGAATGGTAAGTGGAAGAACTGTACATTTTTTTCTTTTTAATATATTTTACGGTAAAGTTGTGCCATGGACAAACTGGTGTTTTGTTTTAGGTCATGAAGCATTATACGTATTCAAATTTATCAGAAAACTCTCAAAGATTTGTTTCTTCCTTTTTCCATTTGATATCATCACTAGCAGAGACATTTGTGTAAGTGAGCTTTTCATTGTCTTGATCACATATCCAGTATTTAAGCTGTTATTTACACATGACACACCACGCTTGTTTTGAAATGAAAACCTTAATTTTTAGGTTTATATACATGGGTTTTGATATTGCCAAGGAACAACATAGCTGGTCACATGTGGGGTTCATTTTTTTCTCAATTGTATCCTTTGAATTAGTAGTCTAATGTGAAAAGTTCTTATACTGTAGCAACTGAAACTTCATCTTTTTCCTTAACTTGGTGCGTGATTGCCTCAGATTTTTATTATAGTTGCAAGGTATGCTTTCTGTATGTTTACTGTGATGAGACTTTGGTCATAATCTTACTTTATTAGTCTTTCAATTTCTAGACATTTGTTATTTCATTTTCCTTGTCCGTTTGTACAAATCGCTGTATTTTGGTATGAAAATCTTAATCAGTTTGCCGAATGATTTTGTGCAGGGCAGCTAATGTTTTTTCTTGTGCATATTTGGTCAATGTGGTTCGACTTGCACACAGACAGATACCTTTAAAACACCAGAAAGCACTTTGTGTCGAGTCTTAAGATGGAAATTTAAAGGAACAAAAAAGATAGGGTTTAAGGTTTAGGGTTTTAGGGCAAACAATGTTGTTGGTGCTCTTTAAAAATGAGTTATTGATATGCAGATTGAAAAGGAGACTAATTTGAAGGTGGGAGGAACCTTTTGGTCAAGCTAACCAAATTATACTTATGTTTATACATATGCATGCTTGTACTGGGATTTGATTGTGTTTTGAACTAGCATCTTGTCCTATTAGACTGTCTTTATGCCATAGTTCCTCATAGTATGCCGAACTAGAATCCTGCTGAAGAGTAGATGAAAAGAAATCGATGCTGCAGAGGAGATGAAATGAAACCAATGCTGCAGAGGATCTATGGCACTGCATGGGAGAGTGAAGATCAATTGAAGGCATTTATTCATTTCAAAGAGGAAGCTAAACGTCAAGATCACAGGAGCCTTGGTCAAGCTTGACCTGTTTGTAAGCAATATATTAATAAATAAGCTACTGCAACACAGCAAACCAACACAACCCTAGGATTACCAACTAATATCATATTCATCATAACTAGAGAAATACCAGTTTATAGTCTGCAAGACACTTACCTGAGGGCATCGACATTGAAGAAACAATAGAAGAAGAAGTCTTCTACTTCCAGCACACGAAAGTCTCTCTTCTAAGTGAATAGGGTTTTAGATAATATTGAGAGAGTACATGAGGAAGCAGGGACTTCAACTATATATATCCATCCATATAGCTAGAGAGATTCACTCGGTCCAGCCCTATTATCAGAAAGAGTGATAATCTCTATCTCTTAATAAGTTTTAGTCCTATCATGATTCTATATACTAGTATATATTTGATAAGGATCAAAATAGAACAGCTGCAACGTATAAAACTCCACAATTCTTGTCATACTAAAGCTCTCTCGGACGCCTTGTGTTTCGCATAACTAGTATAACTAGTTAAAACGCCACCCAAGTGGTCCAGTTGCAATCTCATTGTCATTCAAACAAGTTTTACATTCTCCCACTTGAATGTCAATGATATGCCTTAGTATTACAAGAATCATGATGATCATAGAGTTCACAAAAGCTTGCAACTGATCCTTCTTAGTAACTTGTCATTTTTAAGAAAAATATAGGACCACAGAAAACAAGGCACGTACAGCTTGCACTTTGCACTCTGTGATCACATACATATTTAACTTAAAAACCCTATGTCACTCTTAAGAGTCATGATGTCAAGAACTGACAATTCAGAATGTCAGTTCTCCATAACAAACTGAAATAATTCCAGTACCAAAGTTGTTTGCAGAAACATGATCAGCCAATTTAAGCAAATTATTAAAGATAACAAATTTGCAAGCCAACTAACAACTGTCAATCAATAAACAAAATAATTGAGACAAACTCATCACAGTTTAAGGAGTGCTTACTCCCACTCATTAACTGAATCAAAAACCTCTCTTACTCCCATGTTGAAAACATGTTTCTTGAAAACTCCCACTGGTAAAGCCTTTGTCATTGGATCAGCAACCATTAAACTTGTGTTGATGTACTCAATTTCGACAGTTCCTTTCTTCACTTCATCTCGTACTTTTAAGTATTTGATGTCCATCAATCTGCTGGCATAAGACCTCTTGTTATTCTTCGAAAAGAAAACTGCAGCTTTGTTGTCACAATACAACTTGAGAGGCTTTTCAACACTGTCAACAATTTCCAATCCTTTCATCATGTTTATAAGCCAAACAGCTTGTTGAGTTGCTGCATAGCACCCTACAAATTCAGCTTCCATAGTTGAAGATGCAATACCTTTCTGTTTTGCACTCTTCCACGATACTGCACCATTAGCCAACATAAAGATATATGCATTAGTTGACTTTATGTCGTCTACGCACCCTGCCAAGTCCGAATCCGTAAACCCCACCAATTCCAGCTTGTTCCCATGACTGTAAGTTAACATAAAATCTCTTGTTCTTTTGAGATACCTCAGTACCTTTTTCGCTGCAACCCAATGACATGCACCAGGATTTGATTGAAACCTACCAAGCACGCTCAGTGCAAAAGCCAAATCCGGTCTTGTACATACCTGAGCATACATTAGACTCCCTACAAGAGATGCATAGGGCTTGTCTTTCATTCCCTCATTTTCTAATTCATTTTTGGGACATTGATCACTGCTCAGTTTGTCTCCTTTGCCGATAGGCAATTCTCCATTCAAACATTTGTCCATATTGAATCTTTTAGCAATTCTATCGATATACTGCCTTTGAGAAAGACCAAGAGACTTCATAGCACGATCTCTTACTATTTCTATTCCCAGAACAAATCGAGCTTCCCCCAAGTCCTTCATGTCAAAGTTTTGTGTGAGCATACTCTTAGTTGCCTGTAGTAGAGACATATCGGAGCTAGCTAATAATATATCGTCTACATACAATACTAAGAATATGACCTTCGCACCAAGGACTTTCAGATAAATACACTCATCCAATTTGTTCTCTTGGAAACCAGAAGCTGCCATTACCTGATCAAATTTCCTATTCCATTGCCTCGAGGCTTGTTTTAAGCCGTATATAGACTTATTCAGTTTACAAACCATCGTTTCCTTCCCCCTTTCAACAAATCCAGGTGCTTGTTGCATGTAAATATCTTCTTCAAGCTCTCCATTTAGAAATGCCGTCTTGACGTCCATTTGATGAAGTTCTAAATCAAAATGTGCTGTGAGAGCGAGGATTATTCTCATGGAATCTTTTGTTGAGACTGGGGAAAATGTCTCATTATAATCAATGCCTTCCCTTTGTGTAAAGCCCTTTGCCACTAACCTTGCTTTGTGTTTGTCAATGTTGCCTTGTGAGTCTCGTTTTGTCTTGAACACCCATTTACAACCAATAATTTTTGTTGTTCCAGTTGGCTTTGAAACTAAGCTCCACACACACGGTTTTTCTCCATGGACTCTAGTTCTTCATGCATGGCTTGCTTCCATAGTGTGGATCTTGAACTTGTTATGGCTTGATTGTAGGACAAGGGATCATCTTCATCACCTATAGTATGTTCTGCCTCATTTAGGTATACGAAATCAGGCAACAATGCTGGCTTACGTACTCGCTGTGATTTTCGAATAGTTGATTCGAAAACTGCAGTTGCTGGATCATTCACAAGGTCTTCTTCAGTTAATTGTACTGGTGCATGTACTTCATGTTCCTGGACGTCTGCATGGGGTGCATACTCCTCATTTGTTGTATCATTTTCATGAACCGTATGTGAACTGTCATGAAAAGGGGGTGGCTGTAGGTCCACGGGAATGGAAAGAGTAGGTGCATGCGGATCAATAACGTCGTTATCAAGTGTAATTTCATCGAATTCTGATAATGTAGCTGCTGATATTCTGATGTCAGTTTCATCCTCATCTTCAAGAAATCTTGCATTATGAGTTTCCATAACCCTCGAGTGACTGTTAGGGCAATAGAACTTATACCCTTTAGACTTCTCAGAATACCCAATGAACTTGCAACTGGTGGTCCTTGGATCGAGTTTTTTCTCTGTTGGATTATAGAATCTGGCCTCAGCATTACAACCCCATACACGAAAGTGATGAAAGCTTGGTTTCCTTCCAGTCCAAGCTTCAAATGGAACCATGTCTACGGACTTGCTTGGTACACGGTACGGTCAATATATAGTTTGCAGTTTTCAGTGCTTCACCCCAAAGAAACATTGGAAGCTTTGAATGTGCAAACATGGATCTGATCATGTCTTTCAGGGTTCGATTCCTTCGTTCAGGAACTCCATTCTGGTGTGGAGTCCCAGGAGTGGTATACTGGGCCACGATGCCATTTTGTTCAAGATAAGCTGCAAACGGTCCTTTGTTTTGTCCAGCCTCAGTGAACCTGCCAAAATACTCACCACCTCTATCGGATCTCACAATCTTAATGTGTTTTTTCTAGTTGTTTTTCAACTTCCAAACGGAATATTTTTAAAACAATGCAAGGCTTCAGATTTTTCAGAAATCAGAAATACATATGCAAACCGTGAAAAATCATCAATGAAAGTTATAAAATATGATTTTCCACATATGGTTTTAATTGGAAAGGGTCCGCAAATATCAGTGTGTATAATTTCTAGTAGAGATTGGCTACGGTTTGACCCTATTTTCCTAGTATTGGTGAGTTTTCCTTTAAAACAATCAACACACTCTTTAAAGTTGGTGAAATCAAGCTGTGGCAACAAGTTTTGTTTGGTAAGTGTGATGATTCTTTCTTTAGAAATGTGCCCCAACCTTTTGTGCCAAAGCATGGAGGTTTTTTCATGAATGAGCACTTGTTTTGAACCAACACTTTGAACATTAAAACATTCAATCTCATAAGTACAACTCATTTGCCACATATCAACTTTAAGAAACGCTTCACCAAGCAATTTATTCAAGTCATTGGAATGAAAAAACTTTACACTTTGACTGTCACCCACAAATGTAAAGCCGGACTTAACTAACTTAGATGCAGAAATCAAATTCCTTCTCATGGAAGGTACATAGAGTACTGGACTTAAATTTAAAATAAAGCTAGAGGAAAGAACTAATTTGACACTTCCTATGGATTCGACAGCAACTTTGCTGCCATTCCCTACATAAACATTGTAGACTTCATTGTTTATCACCCTTGTTTTTTAGAAGCCCTGCAAAGAATTAGTTATGTGAATAGAGCAGCCTGTGTCAAACCACCAACTTTGAGGAGGAACATAAACTAAATTAGACTCAACACACACAAAAATATTTATTTCATTACCTTTCTTAACAAGCCAATTCTTGAAGCCATTGCAGTTCTTTCTTAAGTGACATGTTTCTTTGCAAAAATAACACTCTTTTTCTTTCTCAGGTTCAAAGTTAACAGGCTTTAATTTATGAGATCCTTTAAAGATGATGTTAGTATTTTTAAAAGTAGAAGAAATTTCTTTCTTCTTCTTCTTACCAGCAGCCACGGTTGAACTTTGAGTGAAGTCCCTTTTGCGTTTTTCTCCTTGCACAAAATTCACATCTACTGATTTGTCACTCTTGAGCCGATCTTCTTCTTGCGCACACATAGTGATCAGTTCATCAATGCCCCATTTGTCTTTCTGAGTGTTATAAGAAACCTTGAGCTGCCCATATTTTGGAGGCAATGAGTTCAAGGCCATGTGAACTAAGAACTGGTCAGTCATGGGTACTTCGAGATCCTTTAATTTCAGAGCAAGATCAACCATCTTGAGAATGTGTTCTCTGACACTTCCCTCACCATCAAATTTCATAGAGGTAATTTGAGTGAGAAAAGTCCCAGTTTCAGCCTTGTCAGATTCTTTAAATTTTTCCCCAACTGCAGCCAAGAAAGCTTTTGCATTGTCTTGTTTCGGAACACCCCCTTTAACTAATGGAGCCATAGCCTTCCTCATAATCATCAGGGACATTCGGTTTGTTCTCTCCCATTTTTCAAACTTTGC